CCCGGAGCCCTGGAACCGTCAAGCTGCCGCCTCTGTGACCGCCGTTCCCGCCCCGGCCGGAGGAGGAGCCGCCCCTGCCCCGCCGGGGAAGGTGGAGGCCAGGAAGCCAGAGGCCGCGGCGTCTGGATTTGCTGGGCGTAGGGTGGGGCTGAGGGATGAACCCGGGAAGGGGACCCCTCTACCTCAACCTTTCTGTCTGCGTCCTCATCTTTCCAACTCTGCCCAGGTCTCCCCTTTCCCTTCTGTGTGTGTGTGTGCGTCTACAAGCCCATCTTCCTCGGTTTTGTCCGTTTTCTCACTTTCTTCCGGTATCTTCATCTTTCCTCTTATCTGCCTTTCCATTTCACGTTCCTTGGGTGTGTATTTCCGTCTCCATCTCACCCCATACCTATTTCTCTTTGCCCCCATTTCTCTTTCTGCACCTGTGTCCCCACCGCCCATCTTGTTCTCTTTTTCCTCGCTCTTGGCATGTGTCACCACCTTCCTTCCTGTCTGCCTCCCCCACCCTGCCTGTGTCAGCTTGCATTCATTCCCCCGATGAGCCCCGATTCCTCCCTCCCCAAACCAAAAGGAACATTAGTCCTTAATTTGGATGGACTGAGGTGTGGCGAGAAACTGCATTCCCAGAGGTTCAGACAACCACCAGGATGGTCCTTCACCCCACCCCCACCGCCTCTCTCTACCTTTCCAACGTGTTGCATGCCGGGAGTTGGGGGGAGAGGGATGCCGACGACAAGAGGCTGACCTTTGGGAGCAAACTCAACCCAGGAGGCCACCCCGGTGGCAGCGGTGCCTCAGCCGAAGGATGGGAAGAGACAGAAACTCTTCTTACTTAGGGGGAGGGGCACCCTCTTCCTTACCCTTAGGTGGTTTTTGTTTCCCCCTCTTTTAATTTATTCGGTTGTTTCTGGAGGGTGGGGGGAGGGAGGGTTGGGCAGGGAGCTGTCTGAGGTGCTGATCTGAGGCCGGACTGGAATCCTCTCGGGAGGGTACCAGGGACTGACTGGGTTGGGCCTGGTGCAGATCCAAGGTGCCAATGATGCGGGCCGACGGCGCGGGCCGCACTGTCTATCTGTCCGTCTGTCCGGAAGATAATTATAAAGCGCTTGAAGCGCCTGCAGATGGTTTTGCGCCGGCCTTTCTTTGGGCCCCGGGAGGGAGGGAGCAGGAGCAGGAGTGGAGCTGTCACAAGCAGGACAGGAGGCCCCCAGGGGCCTAGTGAGGAAGGCCTGGTCCCTGAGAACTGCTACTCTTTGGTCCCATGTACTGCTATCCCCACCCCCACCTCCATTTTGTCTGACCTAGCTCCTCATTAATGGCCGACCCATTTCTGGATTAAATGATGAGGACAGCAGAAGTTGTCCCCCTTTTACAGAGTGGTCCATTGAGGCAGAAATAGCTCATTATTGTGGCTACTTTTCTCTGCCTTCATCTCTCCCCGCCATATATCCCGTCAGGAGTCCAGGCAGACCTGATTTAAGTCTGTGTTCACCACCCAGGTGGGGCCTGACTCCACACGCAGCCTCACACGCTTCCCTTCACCCACTGGACTGCTTCAAGGCTGCTTCGGCCACACGCCTACCCAGAGCAGACTTGGGAGGACCATCCCTGCTTGAGATTCAGACCTGGCTCTTTATCTCCAGGGAGGCAAGGACACAGGCAACCTGGGAGACGGGAGCCATTGATTGGGGTTGAAAGAGAAATAACCTATTTAGCCTGAGATCCCTGTTTGGTCTCCCTTGCCTTCTTAGCCACATGGCTAAGCGCTCCATTCACTGTTTCATTGGTCCAAGGAAGCCTGTCTCTAGTAAAAGCGCTGGCGTCTCTGACCCTAGTCGCCGGGAGAATCCTGAGGGACAACTGGGCGAGGTCCTCAAGAGCGAGGCTCGCTGTCCGTGGTGCTGACCGGCCGCAGGGGCAGGAAGAGCCGGGTAGGGACCTGTTAGGGGCAAGAGGAGTTGCGGATTGGGTCTCATCTAGATCTTTGGAAGTGGTGTGTGATCTATTCTGTTGGCGAGTTACAGGAGTCTGGCCCCAAACCCAGG